TGGGCAATCCTACTTCCGTAGTGATACTGCCTCGGAAACCCAAGGAGGGGTCGCTATGAGTCGGGGCTGACTCGACGGCACATAACAACAACAACAGGGCCCAGGCAGGATGCTGGGGAAACAGTGGTGAATGACTCACTCTTTGCTTTCAAGTAGCTTACAGTTAAGGTCCTTCACTCAGCCATCCCAAGCAACTGACTCTTACTTCCCCCAAAAGTCTTCTGCATAGTTTCACTTTTATAGTAGCAACTTTATAAGCTTAAGTTAGAAAGATACACTTTCAGAGCTCAAAGAGCCTTAAGACACCTCCTGATCTAATCCCCTAGCTTGCAGGCAGGGAAAGCGAGACATAGGGGGAGTTACTTCCCTCTGGATACATAACTAAGAAAAATTATTAACAGTGGAGGAGAAGAAAAATTCCAAAATAATAATAGAAAGGTTGTACTAGAATGCCAGGATTATGGAATATTTTCTAAAATTTTTATAATTAGGTTATATTACTTTATAATTAAAAGATAATTTTTAAAAATATGTGCAGTACATCCTACTTTAGCGAGTAGCAACTGGGATCTTAAAGGCTTGCAAGTGGCCATCTAGATGCAACGATGGGTCTCTCCTCATCCAGAGCAAAGAAGAACAAAGAAAAGCAAAGACGCATGGAAACAATTAGTCCAAGCAACTGGTATACCATGCGATCCTCAGCATGTATGACCATGGGACCAGAAGAAATAGATGGTGCCTGGCTACCACTGTCAACCACTCAGAGGGGGATCTATGTAGGAGACCCTGGACAAAGTGGGAGAATGATGTGGAACAAAACTCAAAATCATTTAAAAAAAAAAAAGCACCAAGTTTGCTGGTCTGAGAGCCTGATGGAAGCCTGATAGTCCACTGAGACTATGGCCCCTAGCTGCCCTTCAGGTCTGGAATTGAACCCACTCCTGTGGCTTCTAGCCAAACAAAAGATAGGCATATGGGCTGAACATTTACATTAGGTAGATACACTCCTTGGAGAGATCAATCATGGGAGAATAGAAGGGCCATGTATGCACAGGAAGGCAGCTCGGAGGCAGGCGTGCATGGGAGGGAAGGACACAGGGAAGAGGTAACTATGGGGAGGAAGTGGGAGGGGAGTTGTTGCATTGTGGGAAATTGCAGTCAAAGTCATGAGACAAAGTGTATGTGAACTGCTGAATGGAAAGTCCATTTGCTCTGTAAACTTTCACCCAAATCACAATAAAAATTAAAAAAAAAAGTCAAGCAAAGGGTTTCACAAAAGATTAAATATTATTTGCTGAATACCACAGGTGGATGGAGGAGGGAGGGTAAACCAAAAACTAGAGTAGACATACATTAACTTGGGTAAAGGGGGAAAAAAGGAAAAAGAAAAGAAGTCAGAAAAAAAAATACTTGCAGTAATACATAAGTAGATGTATGACTAAAAAAAAAAAAAAAAAACAACTCACTGCTGTCAAGTCGATTTGACTCATAGCAACCCATCTTAGGTTTCCAAGGTGGTAGCTCTACGGAAGTAGATTACCCAATCTTCCTTCTGAGGAATGGCTGGTGAGTTTGAACTGCCAGCCTTCTGGTTAGCAGTCAAGTGCCTTAGACATTACGCCACCAGAGTTTCCAAGTAGATGTACAGACATAGGAAATTTATATAGAGAGTGGAACTACTACCTTCAGCAATTTATAGCTACCTTAAACTTTATTCTCTGAGCCAAAGCTTGATATAAATAAACTAACACACACACATACAAAACTATGTATACTTTCAGCACCTTGCTGGCCCTCTACACCAAGAACTCTGTCACAACATTAAACTATCACATGGGTGAATCTCGTTTAGAAATATAAAATGATATAAATGTGGTTCTTTAAGAAGTTGAAAAAAAGAAAAAAAAAAATCCTCACAATGAGGACCAATAAGCAACATCACAATAAATGGAGAAAAGACTAAAAAAAAAGAAGAAGATAATTAAAAAGCTATGACAGGACAGTTAAATTATAGATAGCTTTCCCTATTTTACAAGTTTTCTTTAATTGGAGATAACACTTATACTACTCCTCACTTATCAACTATTTCATTATCTGATACTTTTCACTTATAACGATAGTAAAAACCCTACTATCTGGCTATTCACAAAGTATGCCCAGCAGTAATGAATGCTGAGATGAGAGGCCAAAGTAACACTGGCTGTGATGGTTAAGGCTGTGTCAGCTTGGCTGGGCCATGATTCTCAGTGGTTTGGCATTTACGTAATAATGTAATTTGGCAATTACATGATAATGAAATTTGGCAGTTATGTAATGATGTAGTCATCCTCTGTTTTGTGATCTGATGTGGTCATCTTTCACTTTTGAGTAATGCCAATTTTTGCATAATGACTTGGTCTTTGGAACCTAACCATGTCGATAAGTAAGGTATGAGTATATGAGAAATTCATTAAAATGATATAACATGGGGTTTGGAATTAGACTTAGATTCATTAAGCTGTCATTCACTACTGTAGTGAAGTTATATGACTTCACTGATGTTCAATTCCCTCATCCATAATAAATAGCTTACATCTTTCTTACAAGACTATTGAGAGATTTAAACTAAACAATATAAGTAAATAAAACATGAAACTAAGTAAATGCCAGTTTCCTTCCCCTTATTTCAAAAGCTCTGATTTCTGAGGTTCTTCTGCCCAGGGTGCTCTAGACTGCACGTGGTCTAATCTAGGTCATCAGCAGTCCTGTAAAATCCCCTCATTGATACCATAGTTTCCTGAGTGCTCAGAGAAATCCTGCCCTTCTACTTACCTTCTGTCAAAATCTGTTTCAAGAAAGACTGTTTGAAAAAACTCCAAGTCAATTTGGCCTCTTTCCAATTTAAAAAAGCCTGTATGAGAAAACAAAATGAATCAACCAACCAAGCAAAATATTCCAGGCATTTCAAGTCTAAGAATACAATGCTATGTGAGAGGTAAACTCATTCAGGTCCCCAAATCCCAACTTGAACACATCCCCATTAATTCTTCACTTAATGCTAAGCATACAGAAGTTATCCAACAAATACTGGGAAAGAATGTACATGACACTAATTACATTACACTGCTAAACAGGAAACAAAGTCTGTAGGGGTAAGACCCTCTCTAGAAAAGCCTGCCCAAGATCCACACCTTGAGACCCCTAAAGAAGAATTGCTGCTATCCCCTTAGAGGCTTGACTACTGATCACACCAGATTCATATAGCTCACGACCAGTTCTTTCCAAAAAAAAGTCTGAAGGATGCCAAGCTTCAGAACAAATTCTGCTCCATACATTCCACACCTTAATGCTATATTCAGCTGCCTAGGATCTCTTTACACAAAGCTTTGCTTGAATATTTCAATAGAAAGCCAAGCTTTCCCATTCAGTTTAACCACTCAGAAAGTGGAGAGAGGAAAAGGGAAAAAAATTATTATTATTTTTTTAATATGGTTCTTCCCAAAGCCCTAGGGGACCACAAAAGTCTTCATTCCCTGAGGACAAGGAGGGTAAGAAGGAAGGAAGTGCTTAGGTAGGGCAGAGATCAACCTGCAAGGACTGGTTTCCTCAATGCCAGAGAGCCGACCGCAGATGGAAAAAGGGCTAGCCAGCTGAACATCTGTTCCCTCAACTTCTTTGCTCACCCCCACCCCCACCCCAATTCCTTTAGAAGCCCCTTCTCTATCATGCGGGCATCTTGTGATCCCTGCTTGTTCAGTCTAGGTGTTAGGTTCTTAATTCCAGGGTACCTGTATTTTCAAAAGGAGCTTTGGTGGTGGAGTACCTAAGACATGCAACTGCTAACCAGAAGGCTGGCAGTTCAAACCCACCAGACCCTGCAGATGGAAGACGGGGCAATCTATTTCCGTAAATATTTACTGTCTCGGAAACCCAATGGGAATCGCTATGAATAGGAATGGACTTGAGGGCAGTGGGTTTGGTGTATTTTCAAAAGTTCTGATGAACCCTAAGTGATGACTTTTGAATAGTGAGATTTCAGGCACTCTTTGGGAGGGAAGGGTCTTCCAGGAACCTTTTAAACTAAATCACAAAGGTCAAGTCCATTCCATCTTTCTTCTTGATCTATGAGCAGTCCTGGAATTGCTCTAATCACATGGGACTCTATTCTTGGCCAAAAGTCCATCTGTGTAGAGCAATGTTATCTAATAGAAATCTAAAACAAGCCACATTTTAAATTTAAACTTTCTAGTAGCCAAAGTGACCAGTAAAAGGAAATATTAACTTTAATACATTTTATTTAAGCTAAAATATTATCATTTCAACATGTAACCAATGTAAAATAATTTAGAGACATTTTACATTCCTTTTTTTCATACTAAGTCTTTGAAATCCACTATCTTTTGCACTTTCATCTCAAATCAGAATAGTCACATTCCAAATACAATATAGCCACACAAGGTAATCATTTAGGACAGGACAAGTCTAGAATATGCCAAAAAGAGAGTCATTTGCACCCCCTTCTGAGTCTCCTCACCCTTGGTTTCTGAACCTTTTTCAGATATTGGGACAGGATCAAATCTTCCTGCCTTCAGGGCATCACTGAACATGGAACAAATGCCAGGGGTAGATTAGTCCAGGAGTAAATCTTCCCAAGTGAGAGGGAAATTGGCCCACAAAATATATAAAACAATTCATAGCTCCTTTCTCCAGAACAAAGAGCATCAGAATACTTAGCACCACCAGGGGGCACTGTGGACCACATCATCCAGTGGTGCCGGTTCTGCCCACACTTGGCTCTAGGGGAGATGGAGGCACAGCACCTTCTCTCTCACACACACCTCTAAGGGATGGTGGTCCTTTGACAGTGTGCGCAACAGTGCTCGTGCTCTTTATTTCAAAGAAAACAAAATGTTGCAGCTTGCCCATGAGACTTTTGTGAAGCCTACTTGCTGGTAGGTTGTTTGGGAAGATGATTGAGCTCTTCAAAGAAAAAGTTCTTTAGGAGAGTAAAATCATGACAGTTTATCTGATTGAAAGCTCATACTTAAGGATACATTTCTCCTAATACCTTCAATTCAAACAGACTCATGGTTCAGAAGGAATGGCCACACCACTTACTATCTCCAAAATGCCCATTAAAGATATGGGGGCAGGAAGTCAGATCTGAGATAGGGTTTCTTCTCAGGCATCTACTAAGTGGAAGAAAAGAGGAAGCACACTTTTTGAGCTTTTAAGACTCTGCCCAGAGGGGATTTGTCACTTGGAATGATCAAACAGGGTCTATTTCACAAGAGCTAGATTGGGAGGTACTGCTGAGCCAGCCTAAGCAGCTGTGAACTTCTTCAGAATCCCATCAGTAATGTGCCATTTCACTGCCCTATTGTATTGGGAGCTCTGGTAGCATAGTGGCTAAGGCACTTGACTGCTAACCAGAAGGCTGGCGGTTCAAACCCACCAGCCACTCCTCGGAAGGAAGATGGGGCAATCTACTTCCGTATACTTCCATAGTGATACTGCGTCGGAAACCCAAGGAGGGGTCACTATGAGTTGGGTCCAACTCGACGGCACATAACAACAACAACAACATTGTATTGATGGAGAAACTCAGGCTTACAAAGAAAAGAGTAGTGCGCAATGACTCCAGGAAAGGTCTGGAATAAGAACTGAGAAGCTTATCCTGCTTTAACCTGAATCACAGCCACTTTCCAAACTCTACTGAGTCAGGATGATCCTATCAGCCACATCCTTACCACACTGACCCAGTGTTACTGGGAGGCCATGGTCCTGTATCCTGCTCTTCTTCCTCTCCCTCTTGCTCCACCTACCCCAGCTGCTCTGGGCTATCCACAGTCCATCTGTCCATACTACTTCTCATCTGTATGATTACAGTAGACTCACGGTAGGGTTTGGGCTTTGAAGTCAGAGAGAGTGGGGCTCAAATTGAAGCTCCATGATTTATTAGCATTAAGGCCATGAGCAAGACACTTAACTTCTCTAAGCCTTGCGTTTCCTCATCTGCAAAATAGGAAAAGGTGCCCTACCTAATGATGCTGAGGATTGAGCAAGTGAAAAGGAGACTGAATAAGCCTGTAATAGATGGTAAGCTCCTTAACAAGGGCAATTAGATGATGGCCCTGTTCAAAAAACCTTTCATTAAACTGCCTCCTTTGCCAGGAGACCACAGGAACTGGATGGTACCCAGCTACCACCACTGAGCATTTTGGTCAAAGATTCTATGTTGTTGTTATTTGCCATCGAGTTGCCCCTGACTCATAGCGACCCCTCCTTGGGTTTCCGAGGCAGTATCACTACGGAAGTAGGATTGCCCAAC